ATATAGTGCTTGTACTTTTGCCTCTAACACTTGTATTCGAGGCGTGGTTGAAACAGCGGCGGACCCTCACCGGCAGTGGAAGTGGTGATGAGTGCACAGAATACGATAGCTATATAAAAGATGCCGATGAGGTTCTGCACTCCGTTCCGGAGATCTGGCGCATATTTGGCTGTTTTCCGCAGGTATGTTATCTCCACAATGTAGACTGGAAGGAGAGCGTGCTACACCTGAGTTGCTACCCACTGCGAACCACAGCGAGGACTGTGCAACATCGTTTTCATGGTGCTGGATTGCGCTCTGTAGAGAAGCGTGAACGTCAAACCGTAACGGAAGGATGTAAATCGCCACCATCCGTGGACAATGTTTTGCCCTTTGTTCACGCTCTGCGCCTAGGTTTTAAGCATTCCAGTAATGTGTTGTACATAAAGTGGATAGGCTCCATGAAACCTACGATCGCCACCGTACGGGCGCTTTTTGGCATATCCAAGACGCATTTCGCGCCCACGCTGTACGATCCGCGAGATACCTCTCTTGTCAGTCGGGACTATCATAATTTGATGGAGCAGTATTTTTCTGATCCCGATGTGATGAAGTGCATCCAAGACCGCTTGATCATGTCGCAGCATCTCAACAACAGCCAGATAAAAGCAGTGGCAGGAGCCCTGTATGCGGTGGATCCGTCGTGGTGTGGTAAAAGCCCCCATGGAGTCGTCGGGGCCCCAAAACACAAAGTGGATGCAACGAGTGAAATTTATCGACGCAGGGGTGGATTGAATGTTCCAATACCAGATATTTACATCATTGAGGGGCCACCTGGTACCGGCAAAACCCATACTGTATCGACATTCATATTAAATCTTATACACTACTTGGGTCCTGATAGCCGCATCTTGCTATGCGGGCCATCCAATACCGCAGTTGATGAAGTTCTACTGCGCGTTCTGAAACACCGGAAACTACTCAATAATGAACCCTTTACAGTACCGACGAAGACGAGCACTTTTGCGGCAAAAACGGAGCTTCTACGCGTTGGTATGCGGGATAAAGTATCCAAAGATGTCCTCAACCATCGCCCGTTTTTGTTTCTGGATGACATAATCAGTGAGATAAATAAAGAGAATGAATCCAAAGGAATATCAGCCACGGTATATTTTCCTTCGGGGCGAACTCGTTCGAGATACAATACTTCAATACGCTCTGAAGTCATTGGTTCCTGTCCTGTTATTTTCACTACCCTTGGCTCTATCCATCAACTTCAGCGGCTGAATATTCTTTTTGATGTAGTTATTGTTGATGAGGTCTCCCAAGCCACAGAGCCCACCATTCTGCCAGCCCTCATGTCCGCGACGGGTAAGTGTATCTTGGTTGGGGACTGGAAGCAGCTGCAGCCAACTGTCCTGCATCCAAACTCCGCGCGTTGCGGACTAAAATATAGTCTGATGGAAAGGCTTCTGCGAAACGGATTCTCATCTCAACTTCTGTGCATACAGTATCGCATGCACCCCACCATTTGTGCCTTTCCAAACCGCTACTTCTATCAAGGCAAACTGCAAACCGACTTATCAGTATTGCAGCGCCAGAGTGAGGGACGTGTATCCACACATAAGGAAACAAGGGAAGATGGACAGAGGCAGGAAATGGAACCGGTGCTTCTTTCCTTGCGTAAGAAAACGATAGCACTGAAATTGGCGACAATCACGCGTTTAGCTTTTGTCGATGTACCAAACGGGGTAATGAAGCGGAGGCGTGGCAACTCCTGGCATAATACACGCGAAGCGGAAGCTCTTTTGCGATTCATGCGTCAAATCCGAAGCTATTTGGGGCTCACTATCGAGGAGTTCGCTGAGCATGCTTGTATAGTAACGTATTATACATCGCAACGAGATACTATCATTCAGTCTCTAGCCTTTGAGGAGAGGCGTAGCGGGATTCAGGTCGCCACTGTGGACAGTTTTCAAGGTAAAGAAAAGGATATTATCCTTGTCAGCTGTGTGCGCGCTGACGTCAATCCAAATGCATCTAAAAGGGGGGTGAGAGGAAGATTTCAAAATGAAAGTGTGAATGCTCAGCGAGTTCAGGCGTCGGAATCCAGATCTCCAACTGATGTGTGTGCGGAAGCGTTCTCGGATGAACTTGGTTTCTTGAGAAATTGGCATCGCATCAACGTCTCACTGACGCGTGCAAAGGAGCTGTGCATTGTCTTTGGTCACCGCAAAACTCTCGAGACGACCGCGCGGAAGGATATGCAGGTGACAGAGAATAGCGCAGTGCCCCGCGCTGTCAGCGTTGGCAAATGCGGGGAAACTGGCGTGATGATGGGGAACCCATCACAAAGAAAAGTCATTGAAAACATAACGGATATGGATGAGAACCCGTTTATCCTTAGCGATTTCATTCAGCACGTCGTGCAGCATGATTGCAACTCAATAAATAAAACAGAGACAAACACTGGAGGTGCATGTGAACAAGCATCCTGTAAGAATAGTGTTGTCTGTATCTCATCAGACAGCTCAGTGGAGCAGGAAACGAAAAACAAGGTTCGCAGTATCAAGGGCGGTGTTTCGGCATGTCAGACCGCTTACATAACATACAAAAACAATATGATGTTTCTACCCTACCTACAAAAACAACAACCCTAACGGCACGATTGCTAGTTTTAAGAAGCCATGAATGCAAATAGTAGCGATTAGATGCATACTATTACCTCTAATATAGGAACTAACATGTTAAAGGAAAAAACACGGAAAAAAACATTTTCCCCTAATACTTAGGGGTTGCTTAAATATAAATGTCCATATATCTATTTGTTTCCAGATTGCTTTATTTTCCTAATAGTATGCATAATATACCGTCAAAATATTTTAAGATACAAAGAAGTGTACCTTTATTCGCATGAGCTGACACATGTTGCGAGAAGGCTGAGGTAATGCCCGAATTTCAGCTGATCCGAAATAGTATTTATTCAATGTTACTGTAATAGCATTCTTCCTTTTATTTAAAATTCAAAGTATATAAAGGAAAGACATGAGCTTCGTGGCTCTTGATAGAGCTTTTCGAACAGTAGACGATGTACTACAATACCTCAAAGGTTACAGACATGAGCACATGAGTGACGCCTTTCTTAGTAACAATTCTCTTCCCGAGGCTTACAAGTTTCTACAGACGCTTGGCCTTGGTTTGAGTCCTCTCTCAGAGAAAGCCCTGCTTCCAGAGGATCATCGTATTCAGTTTTCCATCCGCGGGCAGCGTTTTGAAATGCCACCAAGCATTGCCCTTAAGTATTATCTTGTTTTCTTCTTATTCTTCTCTCTTCCATTTCAAAGCGAAGGATCGCCTGACGCGGAAGCGGGCAATGTCAAGAGTATTCCATTAACAACAGAGAGGAAGACGGCTGACACATCTGGCTCGATCGCGCAGCTTGTCGGCTCAAAAGGGTTTGGTCTATCTGCTCATTTTCTACTTTTGAGCGCAGAGCACCTCACAACGGTCCTGACGCGGCACTACCAGGAGACTGTTTGGCCCTGCCTCGTGAAGATTTTGAATTTGCTTTGTTGTGATAACCCAAGTATTAATTTTATGGATCATAACGGCGGCTACAGTTCTACAATGCATGACTCTGCCGTAGATAATTTTCAATTGCTTTTTCCGGTTTCGATGGCTGAAGTCGTATCATGGGATGGAGCCATGCAGCACTGGCGTTTTGAATTTCTGAACCGGTTGCCTGATGACGTTGAAAAAGCTGAAAAAGAACGGCTAAACCTCTTCAGAGGGTGCAAAAGAGGTTCAATAGGCTGTTGCAGTGAAAATGCTGTGGCTAGCAGAACCTTGGTGAACCTGATCCCGAACGATAATCCTTTATTGCTACTGCAGCCCCATTATGTTGGCACTATTCTAGTCTATATTCGGCGGTTGAACCAAGCTTTTGCGGGCGATAAGGCTAGGAGACGGTCTGTGTTAGCCATTCGTTGGGGTGAGTTAGATTACGATCAACAGCTGTGCGTCTCACAGGTAGTGCGTGCGCTTGGAGTGGTTCCCCTCATTACGACAAATAGTGTACCCATTGCACCGATCACAACATCTCAATACATCTCAAGAAGTACCGAGGTACCCACTGGCAATGGGACCAGGGGCTGCTCCAATCCACAGGGTGGACAAAGTTTGGTTTCTCAGCCTACAATAGCTAGTAATGTTACTTTAGAGTCTGAGGAAGATTGGATACGACAGGGGTGCCTTAAATGTGGCATTTCTGGACATTCTACAGTTGAATGTCCTTACTGATATTTTATCAATAAGACTCAGCTAGACAAAGAAATAAAATGAGCATCATTTTATTTTTGATAAATGGATATCTATGGGGAATTTGCACTAAAAATATGACTTCCAGTAATTTCCTTTTCTTTCTTAGAAAATAAAAAAATAACTTCCCTAGATTTGTGTGTGCATCTAAAACGTGATTCTGTGGAAAAATCTACCAAGTCTTTGATATTTTCATTTTGAGGATAGACTTTTAGATTGCTGGCTGAAATTTAGCTATCTAATGCCATTTTCATCCAAAGCGTCTAAGTCAAAGTCGTATAAGAAACATTCGTTTTCTGACATGACTAATGAGGAACCAATTCAATCAGAGTCATGTGCACTTCTCAAACATAAAAAGGAAGACCTGACTAGGCAAGAAAGTAGGCATACTACTGTTGGGATGCCTGAGAAATCGAGTCTCGGAACACATGATGCGCACACCACAATCGTAGCAGTTGCAAATGATACAAACCCCTTCAGCAATATCCCATCAGTCACGCTGAGCGGTTCGTCAGTTGAGAGCTTGCTTCAAAACGGGCGCTTTCTAAAGCATCCGCAGCACTACTTAGACCTTTTTACACCGCTTCTGGAGTTTTTCGTGTACTACATGCACCCCAGCAGCGCCTTAGTGTGTGTACACGGGATAAAATGCACTTCTGATGACATGGATGAAACTGTTCGCATGGAAACAGAGGGTGTTATCGTCCCCGATGTTGGTATTACACCAACTCCACACACTGTAGTTAACACAAATAATACTTTAGTACAGAGCTGCACTGGAAGAGGTGCGAACATCTGTAACCAGTGGGATAATGATCAAAGTAAGAACGTGGCCATCCAACGTTGCTGCGCAGAGCTCATAGGGAGTTATGAAAAAGAATATACAGTTGAAGAAGGATCGTCAGAACACAGCACAAGTGGACCGCATTCCCATTTCTTCAGAAGCTCAACCACTGCCCGACAACAACAACAATCTGGATCTTTCGTCGTGGATGCATGGCGTAACGGGGCTTATTGTGATTCAATGCATCAGTCTCCACGAGAATTTAAAGAGCAACTGGAGGCACAGATGCAGTTATTGAAAGTAATTGCATTTCCTATGACAGTTTTGTCATATTTTGCGTCATACTCACTAGAAGACATTTTTGCACAAGATTCTATTGAGCGGTGTTTTTGCAACTTCAGCGATCACTCTGGCAGCTACAAAAAGTGGTCCAGAAAGGAAGTCTATGATCCTTCCATTAATGTAAAGTCAACTAAAAATGGAGATCACAGCCCAAAAGCAAGCAAGATGAAGCAATCTTGGCCACAAACTGGAGAGGATTTTGATCAAATGCTAAAATATCTCGCGGAGTCTTGTCGTTCCCATTACAACCTCGATAAGCTTAATCAGTTAATGCATTTACTCAATGAGGCCGCCTCGCGGTATCTTCCGGCTTTTCCGGATGATAACGCCTACTTAATGGCTAAAGGTGCCACCTTCGTTATGGAGCACTGGTCCAGATCAGCAAGCCACGGCAAATTTACAACCGGTATCTTTACGTTAGCACATCGATCAAGGCTGAAGCTTCTCGAGCAGGCTGTACCGTGTATCCAAGCGATTACTGGCATTCTCAGGCACCACACCCGCTGCCGCCTGGCGCTTATGAGCCCCAGGCCGCGTGTACAGCGGGTAGGCTCACGTCTTCACTTGAGCCCGAAGGAAGTCGATACTCTGACGTTTCTGTTGCTATGCCATTGCGGAGCTATGTTGTGTGCTTCAATCAATGTTCCACAAACCCCGTTAGCATTGGCTCACCAAATGAACCTCACACCAAAGGAGCTTATGTGGTTCTTAAACGAGCATCGTCCTCATATGAAGCAAGGTCTCATCACTTCCGACGCACGGCAGCGGAACGGTTTTATCGACTGTCACGTGGCGATGCAGCAGGAGGTGGTCACAGCCCTGACGGGGGACGATCTTACCGAGGAGCAGTTAATCAAACTCGAGCGTACTGCCCTGGCTGAAGTGCTCAACGAGGAGCGACGACAACAGGAGCGGGCTACTGAGATGACGGTAGTTTCTGCTACCGTTATTGAAAGAGCGATGGACTCGAGTGCAAAGAGACAAAAGCGTCCTTGTGACAATCAAATACACTCTGGAAGTGGCCTCTTTCCGCACCGAAGGGTACCTCGTCTGGAAGACGGCGAAGATGGTCTATGTGTCAGCAGTCCGAATACGAGAAGTGTGTCTCCCAGTAATGTCAGTGCGGATGAAAACAGCGACGACGTAGTAGACTTCTCTCTGCGAAATCTAACACCAGGGCTGGATTCTATGGCTTTGGCACCCCGGGGTTATGAAGTCAATGACTCAACCAGGTTTGGGAGTGGAGAAAACCATGTCTCGGATTGCGTTAGGACCTCAGGTGGAGGGCTTCAAAATGGTGTTCAGGAAAGTGACACCACAAGCGTGGGGGCGGGCATTACAACGCTTCCGATGTGCACACCTGGAGGTGACGAGGAGGAATTCCCCACCGGTACCAACTTTTCCACATATAAGACTGACTTTGAATACATGGAGGCCGCCTTCAACTTGATCGCTACGTTTATACGCATCCGTACCGCTGAAGGTGACATCAAAGATGATGAAGACTGTTATCAGCCTAAGACAAAGCTTGAGGCAACGTTGCGGGAGCTCAAGGGGCGTCAGCGGGTGTGGATGTCAGTCCACAGGCGTCGTGTACAAGCGACACTTGAGTATACAACGAAGGGTCACGGCTACTTGCCTCGTATTGAGCAACTTTCACAGCGTCTCGGTCTCAACGAGCTGGAAAAACAGGTCCTATTACTTATGGTAGGCAACGTTGTATCGCATGACATTCTAATCGCCATCAACGGCCGCTACGGGATGCGGGACGGACAGCGGGTCCTCACAGTGGGGTATATCCTTTTTGTGCTTTGTGAGAATCTGCAGGAGCGCATTGCAGTGCGTAAGTCTTTTTATAAATCTTCACCACTCATTTCGAACAACATCCTCTCGCTGAGTCTGGACTCGAGCTGTAAATCGCGCTTTAACACGGATCTCATGGACTACGTCTGTGATATTGATCGAAAGATTGTCGACTATCTGATGGGGACGGAGACTGAGACCACTGAAATGGTTCCGGGATCCAGGTTGTATTCTCCTACGGTGACCATCAGTAACGTGGTACTGCCGTCACAAACCACCGATCTCGTCCTCTCAACAATTGAGAACTACAGTTTATTCGAGCGGTGTAAGGTAGAGTGTGGTTTCGGAAAAGGTCTTGGCTCGGGTGCTAGCGGTCTTGTCATTTTGTTTTACGGACCCAGCGGTACAGGGAAGACAATGTTAGCGAACGCCGTGGCTCATGAGCTAAAGAAGAAGATTCTCCTTGTCACAGTATCAGAGTTCCGCGCAGACAAGAACGCGGCAGAGATGATGAACTTCATTTTCAGAGAGGCCAGACTAAACAATAATGCTATTATTTTTTTCGATGAGTGTGAATCCCTTTTCGAGACACGGGAAGCCAATCCACTTGTAACTTCGTTGCTCTCTGACTTCGAAAAATATGAAGGACTCGTCATTATGGCTACAAATAAAGCTCAGAACATGGACGAAGCCATGAACCGCCGCATCTCTCTCATGATTGAATTTAAGCTCCCAGGGCATGAGATGCGCGAGACCATCTGGAGGCATCACATCCCGCCAAGGATCAAGCTGCACGAAGATGTCAGGCTAAATCAGTTAGCGCTGAATTATGAGCTGAGCGGTGGCTTGATTCGTAATGCGGTTCTGGCTGGCCTCCAGCACGCCGTCGCACGCGAAAAGACCGAGACTCCGACACTCAACATGAAGGACCTCGAGGAAGGCGCTAAGCAGCAGCTCCGTGGCTTCTTTTTGGCTTCGCAGTTGCCGTGTGCAGCGAGCAGCAAGTCCTATGTGACCCCGAAGTGCGTTTTGTCTGAACTTGTCGTGAAGGATACAACTAGGAAACAAATCGAGACGATTGCTAAGCTTGCCAAGAGCCGGAGCACACTTTTTTCTCAATGGGGATTTAGCCAAGATGCATGTGAAAATATTGGTGCTGTTTATCTTTTCTCAGGCCCTAGTGGAGCAGGCAAATCGCTCGCGGCCGAGGGCATTGCCTTTGACTGCGGGGCTACAATCCGTTTATGTAACCTAGCGGAGCTCATGTTACTTCAGGAAATTAACATTCACTCTGTCTTCGAAGAGGCTCGCAGTCTCGGAGCGATTGTCGTATTCGACCAGGCGCAAAGTCTTTTTAACCATAGTGAACGTAGCATCAGCATCTCGCAAATGATCCAGTATTACGCTATGAGATATCCAAGGCCTGTCATCGTTATTGCTACCACAAGAACGTCCTGGGATAGGGACGGTGGTGCGATGATAGGTGACAGTGCGTCCTGGATTGACGTCCAAGCGTCACGTTTAGTTTTAAATACTCATGTCGTATTTCACTTACCAAGTCGCGAGCTCCGTAAAGAACTGTGGTCCAAGGCTTTTCCCACTAAAGTACCACTTGCTGGGGACGTCGACTTCGATACCCTGAGCAACTCCATGGTGTCGGGTAAGATGATCCGTACGGTGGCTTTTAACGTGTGTTGTCAAGTTGCTCTGTTGCCAGAGTCTAAGCGAAAGCTAGACATGAAGATGATCATTGATGAACTAGAAGTTGCTGTGCTTCGAGAACGGGGACATAATTCGTCCTCCTTAATGTTTGCATGAAGCAAATCTTATTGGATCAATGAGGAGCTACCTCTGGGAAATGTGTATTTCTTTGAAGGAAATTCTGATTGATGAATTTTTCTCCTTGAAAATGCGTTCATTGAATTATTTTTTTTACAAGAAAGTGTCTGTACACTCCGCTCTAAGTGGAAAGATGGCGCGGTAGGTTACTGGATGTTGTTCGGCGTTTAAAAAAATTTCACTGAAACATCACGATTGACATTAAAATACGAATCAGAAGGAAAACAGATATTTAAAAGGCACCTAAATAAAAAAGAAGCCTGTCCTAAATCGAGTTAAGCCAGCATTTCTATGACAGTGCATAAATATATCACGTATATTTAACAATCTAAATCTTTTAGTGTTACTATTAATGGCAAAACGATATCAAATGTGTGTGAAGTCACATAGATACAACGTTTATTTTCTCCGATCTTTTACTTCTTTGCTCCATAAATTAATGGGAATTCTTTTTAGCGCTCTCCCCGTATGGGAGCGTTTTCCAGATACGCGTCTTTTGAATAATTATAAAAAAGTAATGAGTTAATAACACATAGTCACTTCATATAATTTTCTATATACCGTACCACAGCTCTCGATAAACGTCGTGTGCGCCTTATGTCAACTCCACTAAATACAGTAAGGGCATCGTATCCAACTGCACATTTTTCGCATGTAATATCACGCTTTATTGAAAAATACCTCGCCAGCGTTGAGCAGCAATCTCCTACTATTTTTCCTGATGAGAGAACCGGCAACGATTTGCAAGACCCCTGTGTTGATGATAACGAAGTCATTTTTGACGCCTTGAGTGAACTCCTACCGCAGTGGGTATCCATTATTGAAACGGTAGCAACGACGCGAACTCCACATCCTCCTCCCGCTCAGGAGAGAATCGACATGCAGCGACGTTGGGTGCCTCCTCCCCTCCCCGCACCTCAGGCAGTCTTGTTGACGGCAGCCGCGGCGCATCGAGTCGAGGCCCTCTTTGAGTGGCCTCACCTGTCCTCTATTCCTTCCGTATGGCGAACGGGGCTTCCGCGCACCGACTTGAACGCGACGGTCGTGTTGGAGAGCCTGGCGGGCTCGTTAATACCTTTGCTGAGGCAAAAAGCGGCGACACGGGAAAAACAGTGGTGTGAGGCCGGGAACGCCAACGCGACACAGGCAAGTGCTCAGCTAAAAACATGGCACTTGTGGAATGTATTAGAAGTAATGGCACCACTCTCTATGCTCTATGCATGTTGGATAAAGCTCATCGTGCTCTACGACAGCTGCGCCGCTGAAATCACAACGTACGCTACACCAATTGCCGGGAATGAAGCTGACGAGATGACGAACGTTTTGTTGCCCATCGAGCGATTCCACTCAGCGCTTAAAGTTGCACTACGACAACTGATGAATGAAAAGAATAAATCAATGGATGCAGTTACGATCCGTGGTTATTCTGGGTCAGATTTTGAAGTTTCCCACGAAAAGTTTGATTTGGCGATACAGCGCAGCCTTTTCTCGAACTGTTGTCGGTGTCTGGGGGAAACAGAGGTAGATCAAGAGGATCATAATTCTGGAGAGCGTAGGGAAGGTTTGCGAACTCTTAGAGCAGGTCCCGATATGGGGGTGAAAAATGTGTGCGGCGGTTTTGCGAAGGGAAGAAGGGAGCACTATGGTTCTGACGCGGTCGCATCAGCTGCTGTAGCAGCGAAGTTATGGTTTTCGGAGTGCTGCCGTATTGCCGCGCTGGACGACACACGCTCCTTCGCGTCCGACCACGTCTCGCTTCGAGTGGTGGAGCAGCTCCTTGACTTTTTGGCCCAGCGCACACGCGAAGAGGCGATGCGGGCTCCCAACTCTAACCAGACGGTATCTCAGCCCAGGACGCTCCGGGTGGGCCTGTTGGCTGCCGTCAGCTTGGACAGCCCGCTGAGGCCTGCCCCTTTGGCGAAAGAACCCGGCAGCCTTGCCCATGAGCCGGTGTGGGCCCTAACCCTTGGCTGTACACGTGGGGACGGGAAACGAGGCGCAAGCAAAAATCGGCTGATAGTCACCAAATGCAAACCTCGACGGAGGAACCGGCGTGTTTCCTCCTCCGACTTGACTTCGATAAGTACCACTGATAACACGGAAGATAGCACAAGCGTCGGGAGCAGCACAGACGATTCCGATGGGATGTCTGACAAAGAGGACTATTACAGACGTAGTGATTCAATCCTAAACGATTCTACTCGTAGGTGGGAGGATGTTTTCGTTGGTGGGGTTGGTGCCAGGCGACAAGCGCAACCCAGCCTTACGCATCGGCGCCCTTGTCAGGCGCGCTTAGCGGGGGTGTCATTTACAACCGGAACAATCACAGATGACTTCAGAGGATTGCGTTTCGAGGCCGAGCGGCATGCTCGCGGTGGAACCCTTCAATGGTTGGCGCCATGGAGTAGTAACATGATGGGATTAGCTCCATCGGCCAAGTTAAGGTAGCAGCTTTGAGCTTCGTGTGTGGTAGCAAGCGTGATGAGCTTTATTTTTTTCTATTAGGTTTGCAGTAATAGAATTACTTAACTTTCCTTAAAATTAATGTGCATACAAGAACCTCTTCATAAATCTTACAAGGAGTAACCCCACCTATCTATCAATCAAGAACTTGAGGCTAAGTGGAATATCTCTTTCTTCAAATACTGTCTCTTTCTCATTCTCTTCCTGAACTTCATTTTGTTACAATTTTATCACACTGTAGATTATTCATTCGAGGGAAATATAGTAAGTCAAAGGCTAGGGAAATCAGCTTCATATTACGTCTCGTGACTTTAGTAATATTTTTTTAGGGGGGGAGGGGGGGTGCGTGTAGTGACTCTATTTACTACAACGTTTAGATCAACATTTATTATTTTTTTTCCCTTTAGAACCAAATCATGTTGAGAAATACAGCAAGCTGTCCACCTACTATATCTATTATATCGAGTGATGGCACTAGATTTGTCATCCCTGCCAAAGCTGCTGAATATTCTCTACTCTTGAAAAGCGCTCTTGAGCGCTGGACGCTAGAGTACCTTTCACAATCCTCCACAGCGATTAATAACGATGATGATGAGGATGACGACGATCTTGATATATACGAGGTGTCGACTATACCCCTCCACCGCTCTTCCACGTCAGAACAGTCAGACATGGACAGTAGCAGTAGCTCCACCAGTAGCTCATCCATAGATGACGGCAGCTTCGCCAATTGTAGTCTATTGCCAAGGCAACAAGCGACTGCGCCACCGCCCACACCTTTTAACGGCATCTCACAAAAGGATGAAACAGGACCCCATATGGGCCTGGTTGCTGATTCTGTAGCATCTGATAACTGCAGTAGAACTTTGGTAAAAAGTGATGACGACAGAGAGACCACATACGTCAGTCTTCTGAATATTTCGAGCCCTGCGCACGAACCCTATGTACCTCAACGTAGAACAAACTTGAATGACTCTGGTGGCGGCTTCCATTCCGTTCCATTAAAAGGAAACATTCATGAGGTACACGAGCCCGCAGAGAATGGCGGAGCGACGTTCGAAAATACACCGTCGTACTTTAGCGCACCAAGCTGTACAGTGTGTTTGAGCACACAAACGAGGTTTAAGGCGCAAAAATGTGATATTGAAAGTAGGTATAATACCGATGATAGTAATGGCGAAGGTCTTGAGAAAGAACACTCCCCTACGGTTGTCGTTATAGAAGAAAACCATGCTGACCCTGAAGACCCTGATGGGTGGTTTGGTGCAGCACCTACGGAAATGCCAGGTTCTAGCTTGCTTGACACCCCAAACGAGAGAGGTGAGGCTGCAGAGGATAACCTCAAGGATGTGCATAAGGTCCGCCACAACTCTCATAGCTCGGCGCTTAAATCTACAAACCTGAGCAATTCATCGGACAATAGAAACAGCCCACAAAGTGAATGGAAATCCCCGGCAAGTGTGCACCAGCGCACCCCGGTAATGCTCGAAGATGATGACAAAGTTATCATTATGGGCAGCAATGGCCAGCAGGAGATATTGCATAGTTTAGGACGATTGAGCACGTCCCCATGTGCGGAAACCACAGAAAAACCATGCTATGGGATTAGTAGTAATGGCTACGAAGTTGCCTCAAAGAACAACTACATCGACGCCTGTAGTGGAAATAGTTATGCCCATGGAAACAATGAGCAGCCACCAGGAAGTTGTGCGGACGTGGATGAACGATCAGTACCTTTGTCCACTTCGTCTGACCCGGCGGTGCTACCCCTTGGTGCTAAGAACCATGCCGACACGCACAACGATATGACGGTTGATCTCGGCGATATTTTCGATCAGGCACATATCACACCTGGCGAGATTCTCATTGACCTTCGCTCCTTCCCCCTCAGCGTGGAAAATTTTGCTAACTCCACACCTCTTCTCTCTGGCTCGTCGCCAGTTAGCACCACCGCGAGCTCACACAAACGATCCGCATCGCAAAACGCCTCGCGTTCTGTGGATCGAATGGTGTGCATAGGGGAAGTTTCAGCCAGAGCAGTACCTCATTACAACGGAAACTGTGGAACTGTCGATTCAAACAAAACCCCATCCTATCCTCCAAAAGTCCCCACCAAAGTATTACAACTTTGCGTTGACTATCTCCTTCACTTTGTTCAAGCCGCTGAAGATTCAATGGTGCATTCACATGAGGATACACCCACGGCTCTGCCGATGCCGTTAACAGCACCTCTCTGCAGTCTCCTCTCGCCGTGGGAGCGGAGCTTTCTGTATGTTAACATCCTTGGTTATGATGGGAGCACCCTAAAGGCAATGTTTATGATTAATACAATTCTTCCTGATGGAATACACTACAATTACCCGGGGATGGCTCTGGCAAATAAGAGCGTACGCGACGTGCTCGTGATGCGCCCACCGCGAGCGGAGGGGATGCGAACCCTCACACAAGTTAGAAAGGCCGCACAGGAGCTTCGTATTGACAGTCTTCATGAACTCTGCCTTGCGTGGATGGCAGATTTTATGATACGTGCGAGTTATGGTACCTCAAACAATTTTGAGGCTGCACATCTCATACAGCAATGCTTCGGGATTCAGAATGAATGGACACGAAAGGAAATGGATTGTTTGAGGATAGAAAATGATTGGCCGGCAAACGAGGAGGAGTGTTAATACATAGCGAGCATCACTAAGATCGCAAAAGAAAAAAGAAACGACGGCAATATTTTGCAGTGTAAATGTCGATATAGGGGCGACGCTATGTGTATATAGAAGTAAGAAATGGGGAAGAGGCATTTATTACATATGGTCTTTTTCCCCTCTATTTTCGTTTCCTTTTGCCTACGTTAGTAAGCAATAAATGCTTAAAAAGCATTTAGTGCTTATCAATACCAAGCAATAAAATATGAACATTATATGCAATAGCTCACAGTAAAGTACTTATCTTCTTCCTCTTTTTCTTTTTTATTTGAGAGTGTTATTTGCCACATTTTAAAATTTATAATTGATTGAAAAATTCAGTTTCAGGAGTTTAATTACCTTATTTTTTTTTGCGTATGTGTCCTACAGTTCATAAGTTACCAAAAAAAAAGTCCCAGTATTATGAATAAATATATAAACCCTTGCACATTGGAACTATGGCAGGTCTATTAATGTGCTTCCAGGTAACATCGCCTATGGACGTATATATTCATTCTCAAATCCTTGATCTTTCTATTGATCATTTGTATGTCCTATTTGTAAGGATGAAGGAGAAACAGTTTACTCTGCCAGCTTTGTTTCCCCTTGAACGCAATAAAATGATGTGTACTGTGTTACACTTCATTTAATACCTTTTTTCTTGCTTGTGTGAAAGGCAAAACGAATTTTTTTGCTGCGATGATTCACTCAACTATCAAGTCTCATAAGATCAGATAAAGATAATTTATATTCATTAAAGTCTCTGCTTGCGTTTTTTTATATTCAAAAGATAATAATCGATAAATTTTCATTTAGCCGTACTCTCTAATAATGAGCCTTCATTTATCGAATCAGGTGGGTGAGAGCGTGGAAGTGCCCATTTCTGTCGCCAGAAATCTTTTCAAGATCGTTGCGAATGTCGATTCCTTTGCCTCCACTGCTAGAAAACTACCACGATCGAACTACGCCCCAGACTTGGGCCCTGAGGTACAAGCGGTTTCTGTGAAGCCTATAAACGAAAAAGAGGAGGAAGATGACAAGAATCCTAACAATGACAACGTCCCTTTGCACTTCAGCAATCTTGATTACAGCAAAGAAGTATTGGAAGCGGTCGCGCAGTATGCTGTGCTGCCTCACAACCGGCGCACAGCGATCATCCCGAAGCCCCTTAACGTGCCCCTAAGCAGGATCGTACAGGAAAATGAGCTGGATTTTGTGAAGGTGGCCGAAAAGAGTGGATTCCTAATACAATTGCTCGATGTCGCCTCTTGTCTGGGATTCGAAGAGCTAATGCAGCTATGCGCGGCGTATATATCTGAGCGTGTCCATGAAATTGCGCTGGCGGGGCCCGACATCATGACCGCCGCTGAACGTACCCGTGAGTTTTTGCGTATACACAACGAATGGACTCCGGAGGAGATAGAACACCTTCATAGGGAAATGGAGTATGCTAGGCAGGTTGACCCAAGCGTATACTAATATATGTAACCTTTTTTCTTTTATGAAAAAAAAAGTTACACAGTATTGAATTTATTTCTGTGTTTGTGATACCATAAACTCTGGTCTTTTTTTGCTTGTACTTGCATACCACTCTTGTTACGTAATGGCGAAAAAGAAATATGTGTGTAGACAAAAAAAATAGTACACAAATGCTTATACAAAAACATAAGTGTGTGCTAAATACGATTTTTTTATTAGTTTCTAATTGATTCTTTTCTTTTTTTTCTTTTTGGTTTTAAACATGGACAAGGAACCCTACTGTATTGCGTGTGATGGACAAATGCGATGAACAATATCTTACTTTTTGCTTTTGAGGTAATGTGAGGAAAAGTCTCTGCTTTTTTTCTCCACTTAACATCAATGGTCTTGAACAATTTTTTTTTATTCTTTTCAAAATTCATCTTTGAAATCTGCCATATTTTTAATTGCGGTGAATTATAGGTGTGTTCAAATTACTCCAGGTTACAAGTATCATATTCTATAGTCCTCTCCGGTTTTCTCTGTTGAAAAAAAAAGTTGTGAATACCACAAGGATAACCAATATGAAGAACGCATCGCGGTTTTTTAGAGGTAGTGGTCGATAAGAAAGCTTTACATTTGTTTCTGAAAAGCCAAACGAATGCGCGTGGTTATTTTACCACGCTACTGTTAAATGTGCCGTTTAACCTTCTGTGTGTGCACCACTTGCCGTGCTATATCTTTATTTAATTCATCCCTGTTCCTCACTCCTTCCCGATCGTCTCCGCTTCCTTCAACCTCGTTAGATTCTTCTCTCTCTCTCTCTGTGTTTTAACACTCTAACACCCTCAGCGCATTTAGAAAGCCAAGAAACCCCCCACTACAGTAAGGCGCAGCCTCAGACCTCCCCCTCCCTGTGTCACATGGGCAATTTGACACTGTCAAACACGGCGGGCGACTCCGTGGTGGTCCCGGAGGAGGTCGCGAGGAGGCTGTTCAACAAGTTCAGAGCCGCTGATGCCTTCCTCCACGCCGCACGCCCCCCCAGCCCGGACAGCCATAGCCTCAGTGAGAGCAGTGGTGAGGCTGAGGAAGCCACCCCGGCCCTCCCGCAGGAGGACGAGCCCCTCCGTGTCGGGCAGCTCAACGCGAGCCTCGAGGTCTTGCAGGTGGTTGCGACCTACGCGACCCTCCCAAACGACCAGCGAACGGCCGACATCCCAAAGCCGATGATACGGAGCTATGCCGAGTCGGTCAAACCGCACGAGCTCGACATGGTCAGGAAGGCGGAGGAGCAAAACTACCTGGTCCAACTCCTCGATGTTGCGCTGGCGCTTCGCTTTGAGCAGTTGATCGCGGTCTGCGCGGCGTACATGAATGAACGCATTCATGAGATCTCGAAAGGGTCGCCTGACATCATGACCGGTGCTGAGCGCGTTAGGGAGTTTATGCACGTGGAGAACACCTGGACTACTGAGGAAATGGAACACCTCAGCAAGGAGATGGCGCTTGCCAAGAAGATCGATCCGCATGCATACTAAAGTACTTGAAACAGAAACATTGGTGTATAGGATTGGTCGTTCTTGTTATTCACGTCCTTTCCTTTTTCTTGTAGCTGCATTTTTTTCTTATTACTTGTTGCTACAGTTTCTTTTTAGCAATACGGTTTCATTGTCCTGTATATATTTACAAGTTCGCCAAAACGGTGTTAGTTCCATAAAAACATCTAGACCACCCATTCTTTCGTTTTCAGTTGTTGCTTTTCTTTCCACCCGAATTGAATATTTTTATGTTTTTATAGAATATATAATTCTTATTAAATTCACTCTATAACTTCTGCTTGATAGCATCACGTACACACACTTGCGCAGTACCAATTTTTACTGATCCTTGTGGTGCCTAATTTTTTCACTATGTGAAGTGACTTCGTCTAGTGAATACAATTGTTTCGATAATATCAAAAATATTATAGTTATACCTACGGTATTTTTAACCTATCTACATCCCTTCACTGTTATAAGTAAGTGGGTAACTAGGGTTTCAACATAGTAAATAAGGAAAAAATTGAATAAAATAAATAGCAATCTTTTTGAACACGTTGTTAGGAAGGAAATAATACATACAAATTACATACATTTAACTAGCTAAAATATAACACTAAATGTATGGTTCCCCCGTATGAAAAACAGTTCTTTTCCTATTCGATACACTTTATTTATTACCAAAACAACGTCAAATTGAAGAATAGTATGTTTCCTCTCTCCCCTCTCCTCTGTACGTGTACGATGATATGAGTTTTTTCTTGCAAAATATTGCAAATATTTAAGTAGGATACTAGACAAACTCTACGACAAGGAGTTGTTAACAAAAATGTTCCTTTGATACTCTTCCTTGCTTTTCAAAAAAGAAAAAAACATTCCAACTTTCCTCTGAATGAGCAAATATACATATGTGATGCGATGCCTTCAATATTTTCAGAAATAGTAGACCCTTAGCAAGCTCACCTTTGCTGTGCTTTATTGTTAGTAACTCAAAGATATAGCTTTTTTTTTCCGTGCTGAATGTAGCACAATGGTCAAGTTATGAGAATGAAAGGGGGAAAAAAAAGTTCTATATGACAAGTTAGAAATGGGTTAATTGCATATCTTTGTTCTATATTTTCCAGAAAAATGTCCAAGAAGGGTTTAAGGAATAATAATAATCAAAAATGGTATCTGACAAGGACCCAAACTGATATTTACGAAGGGATCTCTGTTGTGAGGCTTTTCTTTTACCCCCTTCATTGCCCATGTTGATGGCGACCACCATGAAAGGAACTCATTTCCAAGTCCGAGGTATATTTTCTCTATAAAGAAATAACGCTAACTAATTGGCAATTATTTGCTGAGTGATGCACTTTGTGGTTTGTGGCTTCCTTGAGATGAATGAGAACTGAAAGCTTTTACACTACTTCAAGAGAGACATATCAGCTAAGATGAGGCTAGGGGCACTTTTCTTCTTACCCGCATTGGTGTCGATGTGAATGGTATTTTTCGACACCAATGAAATATGGATGGGTTTCATAACAAATGTATCACTGGAAAACTCAGGGCATGCATCCCCTTCCCCCCCCCCCCCCTTCTCTCCCCCTGCAGGGCAACCACGCCATGGCAGTTTTGATGCTATTGAGTACGATGTGGCATAGTGTTTTTATAAAAAAAGAGAACGTTCTTTTTCTGATATTCATGCAAACTCTCTGATACAGTAGTAGATGAATTCGAATTGCGAATCTAACCCCGAAACATCAAAACTGATTGAAGTATTTAGAAAATTTGTACAGTTTTGGAAAAAAAAAATAGTTTATATGGAGAATATGATAACTAACGAAAAGAAAGTCCTCACATCGCAATTGAGGTTGTTTACTCTTTACATTTCAAGTTAGATTAAACGGAGATGTCTCCAATATGTGCTAACAAATGGAACGGTATTTATTAACTTTATCCAATCGCGTGTCACCTGTTTCTTTGCCCTTAAGCTGGTTATGATGCACCAATCTCCATCTTTTGTGATGCACTCCTTACTTTTCATTTCGGTGGTTTCTACTTTTCAGCGAAGTATTTTCCTTATTATCTTATTCAACGCATTCCTTTCCTAGTTCCTCTGTCCTTTAGCAACGCGCGATGCCTCCACTCCCCAGCAGGGCCACGCGTGCGCTGGTGAAGAAGCGCAATGCGATCGAGGGCCCTCGCTCCCTCCACCGCGGGATCCATCACAATCTTAACAACGAGGTGGCGCGTGCGTACCGGGCGAACCCCGCCGCGCCCCGCGCCGACCCCAGCGACCTCCTTGTCCACCACCAGCGCATCGCCGCGGGGCTTCAGGACCTCTACGCCCGCACCGCTGCCCTCCACGCCGACGACGCCACCATGGAGGAGCGCGTCGAGGAGCGCTGGCGGCAGTTCGAGCGGATCGGCGGGGTCCGCCCCCTCCCCCTCCCGCCAGCCCGACTCCGTCCTCTGCGTCAGCCCGGCTG